TTGTTGCCCAGAATCTTTCATATCCAAAAGAAAGAGAAAAGAGAATAAAATGTAATTATTTAATTAGTTGTTCTTAGATGAGAACCTTGGGAAAACCATACCACAAAAGTTAACTATTGAAGTTGGAGAGCCTAAGGTTTTATAAACCCCAAACTAGAATCCCATACTTCCAATGTGGGACTCAAGCCCTATACCTTGCAATTGGATCTTAACATTCGCATAAAAATTATCTATTTTATTTGAGAAATGAAATTCCAAATTTTGAAATACTCAATAGTGGATTAAATTGATATGGTTTATGATGAGGAGCAACAACCACTATTTATACTTGTACATATTATACTTGTATCCTAATCCTAATAAAAAATAAAAAAAATTGGGGGAGTTAATGAAATATGGAAACCCTTGCTAAGTGATTATTTACAAAATTATTCTAGGATACAATCAATATATTGTGACATATTAACAAAAACCACAATGATAATACAATCTTCCATTGCAAATGATAGATATTTTAGATATTATTAGTCACAATATATGTATTTACCATATTTACTTGTATGATTCTTATATTACCCTATGTGGATTTTAGACACAAGGAAAATTAATCCTATACCTAGTCTTTTACTATATTTAACATGGTATCTAGAGCTTAAATTCTCTTTTTTTTTTCATCGTCATTGTCGTTGTCCCTGCACCTGTGGTCGCCGTTACCATTGTTGGACCCGCCACCGTCGCCAGAGCCATCGTTGTCGTCAGAGTTACAGTTCATACCAGCAATCACACTCTTCTTCTTGTCTCGACTAGGCGACTACCGCACCATTGAAATCGCCACAATCGGAGTCTCCACGTGCTATTTAAAGTTTTTAGGATTTTTCTCTCTCTTTCTCAATGGCTCCACTGTCTCTTCTAATATCTCTTCTTCAACCACCAATCGATCTGACACATCAGTCAATACTAATTATGTGAATGTGCACTTGTCTCTTGACAAGTTAGATGGCACTAATTATGTGACTTGGGCGTCCGACATTAAACTTTGGCTTAAGAGTTAGGAGTATGTTGATTATCTTACTTAGAATGTGACTACTATTGCTACTAGTGAAGTTTTCCATTGGATGAAAATTGATATCATTCTCAAGTCTACCATTCACCCCTCTTTAAAGCAACTGTTTTGTGCCTACGAAACCTGTTCTGAGGTGTGGGAACAAGCAAACTTATTATACACCAATGACACTCAACGTCTTTATAGGGTTTGTCATGATTTTCTCTCACTGTTGCTGATCCTCGAAGTCATGGTCCAATGGCTAAATATTTGGGTAAAATTCATGTTCTTTTTCATGACTTTAATGAGTTATTACCTCCTGCCCAAGAACTAGTGCAACGATCAAAGTTCTTCATATTGTTAGCATTACATGGACTTTTTGATGAATAATCCCAAGTGCGTAATCAAATTTTGGGTTCCCTTATTGTGCTCAATTTCACTCTTACTTATTCCACTCTTTTGTGTGTGCCAAGTAAACACATCTGTAATCTATATGCTTCCGTCGATGATTCCTCTACTTTGGCATCTCAACGTGATAATCGCTAGCCAAGAAAAGAGCGTCACAAGTGCAATCATTGTCACAAGCTAAGCCACAAGATTGACAGATATTATACATTTCATAGTCGTCCTCCTCGATCTACTGCAGTTGTCCAAACTGATCCTCCCTCACAATATTTACTGTGGATCTTACTTCCTCTTATACCGCAGACAAATCTGTTATTTTCAATGAAATTTTCAAATGGTATGAGAATCATCAAAACTCCAATTCCACTACTTTTGTTGCACGCACATGTACATCTTTTGTTGGCCTAACTCAATCTCCTTCTCTTGGACCTTGGGTTCTTGACTCAGGTGTCACAGATCGTATTACTGGGAATAAATCCTTGTTTTTGTTTTCTTTATTCTCTCCGAATAATTTACCTTCGACTACAATGGCTGATTGGTCTAGGGTTTTGTCTCATGGTGGTGGTACTGTTAAACTTTTTCCATCTTTATCCATTTTATAATGTTCTTTAGGTCCCTAGGTCTCCCTTTAATTTATTATCCATTAGTCGTCTAACCCGTTTTTTTGATTTTATTATTTCTTCTACCAAAGATTTTGTTTGTTTACAAGACTAGAGTTCAAGACAAATGATTGACATCGAATGTGAGTATCATGGTTTTTATCATCTCCGCCCCTCTATACATGTTGGCACAGTTATAGAGTCTTCATCTCTCCTCCATGCTCAACTAGGTCACCCCAGTCTTGTCAAATTGCAACAACTTGTTCTCAGTTTATCCAATTTATCTAGTTTCTTATGTAGAAAAACATAGTCGTAGGTCATTTCCTCCTAGCATCTAATAATGTGTTTTGTCCCCTTTTGCATTAGTTCATTCTGATATTTGGGGACTCAGTCGTGTTAAGTCTAATTTAAATTTTCAATATCTTGTTACCTTTATTGATGATTATTTTAGAAGTACTATTGTTTTTAATGAAAACTCATTCTGAGTTGTTTTTTATATTCCAATCCTTTTTTAATGAAATTAAAACTCAATTTGAAATTTCTATTCGAATGTTGCAAAGTGATAATGGTAGTGAATACTTTCTCATTCTTTTAAACATTTTATGGTTTCTTATGACATTCTTCATCAAACTTCATGTACCCATACACCTCAACAATATGAGGTGGTTGAGCACAAAAATAAACATCTTGTTAAAACAACCAACACTTTTAATTCATGGTGAGGTTTCTAAACATTTTTTAATTGTTCAATCGCATGTCATCTTCAGTTCTAAATAACAAAATTCCACGTTCTCTTTTATTTCTCTACATCCCTTACCTCTTAAAATTTTTTGTTTTACATGTTTTGTTGATAACTTTAGTCCTCGTATTGATAAGTTATCTCCTAAATCACACAAATATGTTTTTTTAAGATTTACTCTATCACAAAAAAGATATAAATGTTTCTCTCATTCTCTCCGTTATTTTATTTCTACAGATGTCACATTTAATGAGTTTTCCTTTTACTTTAAATGTCTTTCTTCTCCGTGTGTGTCGTCGTATACTATTGTCAATATTCTTATTGTGTGATTCTCCTGTTAACCCACCTTCGGATCCTCCTCCGCCACCACCACTTCAGGTTTATAGTCGAAGACAACGATCTCAACAACCACCAAATGACTCATCTAGTGTCAACTCCTTTGTCTCTTCCGGCTCCAACAACTGAGTTTGACCTTCCAATTGCTCTCTATAAAGATATAGATTCTACTCGTAATCTCTCTTCTCATTATACTGTTTTGAGTTACCATAGATTATCTCCACCATTTAATACCTGCCTTTCGTCCATTTCTTCTGTGTCAATTCCCAAATCCGTAGGTGATGCCTTAGCCCATCCTGGTTGGCGTCAGGCCATGCTTGATGAAATGAGTCCTCTTCAGAAAAGTAGAACTTGGGAACTCGTCCCATTACCGTTTGGAAAATCTGGTGTTAGTTATAAGTGGGTTTTTGCTATCAAAGTTGGTCCTGATGGTACTATTGATTGTCTCCAAACTCGTCTTGTGATCAAAGGTTACGCACAATTTTTTTGTTTGGACTGTGATGACACCTTTTCTCCAGTGGCAAAGATGGCTTCTATCGTTTATTCAATCATGACGGCTCTTCAACAATGGCTCATTTATCAACTAAATGTCAAAAATGCTTTCTTAATGGAGATTTGCAGGAAGAAATTTATATGGAGCAACCTCCAGACTTTGTTGCTAAGGAGAGTGTTCTGGAATGGTATGTCGTCTTCACAAATCTTTATGACTTAAAACAGTCTCCTAGGGCCTGGTTTAGAAAATTTGGCAGCGTTGTTCAGCAAATTGGTATGACTCGCAATGAGACAGATCATTCAGTATTTTATCGTCACTTATGTGTTGGATATATTTATTTAATAGTATATGTTGATATTATTCTTACAGGGAATGATCACCATGGCATCTCCCAAATGAAGCAACACTATTGTTACCACTTTCAAACCAAAGATATTGGCAAACTTAGATATTTCTTAGAGATTGAGGTAGCACAATCCAATAATGGCATTGTTATATCTCAGAGAAAGAATGCATTGAAAATTAAAAAAAAAAAACTGGGTTGATGAACTCAAAATATTTAGAAACACCAATGGATCTCAATACCAAACTCCTACCTAATCAAGGGGAGCGTCTCTCAGATCCTGAGAAATACAGAATATTAATTAGAAAAAGGTTTGTTAAATAATCACAATAACTAAGCTAAAGTTGTATGTTATTCAGATGCTGATTGGGTAGGATCTCCTCCTGATAGAATATCTACTTCCGGATATTGTGTTTCTATTAGAGGTAACTTGATCTCTTGGAAGAGCAAGAAACAAAATATTATGGCAAGATCCAATGTAGAAGCAAAATATAGAGTTATGGCCTCAACCACTTGTGAACTTGTTTGGCTTAAACAATTACTTAAAGAGTTGCAATTTGGAGATGCCACACAAATCACACTTATATGTCACAATCATGTTACTCTTCATATTAGCTCTAATCCTGTCTTTCATGAAAAAACCAAGCACATTGAAATTGACTGTCATTTTATTCAAGAAAAGATTATATCTAGAGAAATTAAAACCGAGTTTGTTAACTCAAATAAACAGTTAGCAGATATTTTCACCAAGTCTTTACAGGGACCTAGAATTGATTATATTTGTAACAAGTTTGGTATAAATGATTTATATGCATCAGCTTGGAGGGATATGTTAGATATTTTAGATATTAGTAGTCACAATATATGTATTTACCATATTTACTTGTATGACTCTTAATTATAAATATATTATCCTATGTGTATTTTAAACAGAAGGAAAACTAACTCTATACCTAGATTTCACTATATTCAACAGCAAAAATCAATTGAAAAAGTTAACAAAAACATATAGCTTTACAGGCAATATATCAATTTCAAAGAATCTACTCCGTTGCACAAACCTCAAGATATTTAAATGTAGTGCTATCAGCAGGAACAATGCCATTCTTTCCACCAGCTTCAACAACCATGTTGCACAATGTCATTCGTTCTTCCATCTATCCAAGGAGAACAAATTACCAAAAGAACATTTACAATCAAAAGAAAAAGAGTTTAGAGATTGAAGAAACATTTCGAGCCCATTTATTTGTGTTAGGTTCCTATTTAACCTTTTAATCACAAAACTGCCAACTATGTTCAATAGGCACCTTTGATTTCAAATATTTGTAAAAGAAATACTGACAACAACCTTTTTATTTTGTTTTTTGTACAAGTCTTTCAAAACAGGAAACAAATTGGAAACGGAGATCTATTGTTTATGTATCTTTTAGTATTCTTTTTCAATATTCTTTAGACTAAGGTTAAGGATTTGGGCTGAGGCCCATATCCTTTCTATTGTACTCCTTTTTTTTTCTACAAATACAATGTATAAGTGTGAATCAAACCCTAAATAAATTTTCTCAAGTTGATATCAAAGTGGGTAAGATCCAGCACTGATTTTTTATCGCCTTTGTCAGCTCCAGTCGCCGTCCACCGGCCACTGTCTCTGTTTAGATCGGCAAAAGAGGGGTTTTGCTTGCCTCGAGGAGCGCGACCCACCCCTGCAAGTCACTCAACCGTCAACTGCCCCACGCGCCGTCACACGCGGTCATCCCAATGAACCCTCTTAGGTGCGTTTGTCCAATGTATCGTCTTCCAATGGCTAGAATCAAGGCCGACCACCTCCGTTCGACTCGCTAGCGTCCTCTGAGTCCAGTGGTGCCCTTAATTTTTGGTTTGAGAATAGTGTGTGAAAAGTCCTGTGGGTAACCCTATTCGTTGGCTTTATTCATCTTTTCTGGTTCAGATGACCTCATTCTCTACCTTCACCTTCTCTGCTACTCCCACCATAACTAGTGTCAGGCTCAACTGAAAAAATGTATTATCCTGGTCTGCTTCAGTTGAGTTGTGGTCAAGGGCATCACGACCATTTGAAGAAGGATGTAGACTCTATTTTTGTTGCAGAAAGGTCTCAGTGGGAGAAAATAGACTTCCAACTTTGTGCAATCTTATGGCAGTCTGTGGAACCAGATGTTCTTGAACTTCTCAGGTCATTCAAGACTTGTTCTTCTTTTTGGAAAAATGCTCAAGACAATATTGTTAATGATATTCAATGTCTCTTTGATACAACTCAAAAAGTAACATCACTTAAGTAGACTAATCACAACATGATGGCTAACATCGCTAAGGTTGTTGTAGAAGAATTAAAAAGGTTTCTTGTTGCAAATATCTTAAAGGAGTTTGTTAAGGTTCCAACATAAAACCAATTGGCAATATGTGGAGTAGCCTAACATGTATTTAAACCATACCAAATGACATGAGGTAGGCGATGTGGGACTTTCAACACGTCCCCTTCAACGAAGTCTGTCGGACCAGGCAAAGGGTACTTTTGACCCAACTAAAGGACAACTTTTGACCCATGACAATAACCGGAAAGATGTTAGGCTTTGGCTCTGATATCATGTTAAGGTTCCAACATAAAACCAATTGGCAATATATGGAGTAGTCTAACATGTATTTAAACCATACCAAATGACATGAGGTAGGCGATGTGGGACTTTCAACAGAGTTAAACACCAAACACGATAAACTATATATAGTTCTAATTTTGAGAAGTCTGCATTCTGACTTTGATCACGTGCGTGATCAAATTCTAGTTGGCGATCATGTTCCATCAATGGATAATTTAGTCACTAGGTTGATTCAAGTTCCTAATCTCTTGGTTGATGAGAATCAGGCGGAGACTGTTGAAACTTCTGTTGTAGTTACCCCTCGGGGTCGAGGAGGAGGACGCAACAATCGAGGTGGACGTGGTAGTTCGAAAGTTCGTCCTCAATGCACCTATTATAAAATGATGGGACACACCAAGAAAATTGTTATTCCTTGCCTGGCTTTCCTGATAAGATTGCCCATGCATCTAAATCGAATAAGCCAGATATGAAGATTTCTGATGAGGAGTATCAGGAGTTTTTGAAGTTCAAATCTGGAAAGTTTAACAGTCAGGGTCAATTCTCTTCAATGCCAAGTGTTTCAACTGCATGCATTTCTCAATCTGTGGAAGGTCATAATCCATGGATTCTTGATTCAAGTGTCTCTAATCATATATTTGGTAATAGTTTATCGTTTTCCTTCATGCCTTATCCTAAAATTCCTCACTGAATCACGATAGCTAATGGATCCAAAGTGAAATCTCTCAAGGTGTTGGCCAAGTTCCTTTAACCCCATCTCTAAATTTAAATTTTGTTCTTTTCATTCCTAACTGCCCTTATAACTTGATCTCTCTAAGTCTACTTACTCGTTCTTTTAATTGTTCTGTAACCTTTACTTCCAATTCTTTTGTTTTTCAGGAACATGGTACGGGTCGTCTGATTAGAGAAGGACATGAATCACGTGGTCTGTACTATCTAAAATCAAGTCCTTCGGTGTCTTGTCTGGTTTCTCCTGCCCCTAAACTTTTGCATGATCATCTGGGTCACCTAAGTTTCTCCACGTTGAAAGTGATGACTCCTAATTTTCAACATCTTCGGGTTTTAGAGTGTGAATCTTGTCAATTAGGAAAACATGTTAAGTCTACTTTTCCTGAACAGTCTAAAACTCAATGTAATTTTCCTATTTCAAATATTTATTCTGATGTTTGGGGACCAAGTCGTGTTTCCTCCTTTGGCTTCCGGTATTTTGTGACCTTTATTGATGAATTTTCTAAATGTACTAAGGTTTATTTGATGAAAGACAGATCTGAATTTTTGTCCATTTTTGTGTTTTTTCAATGAAATTAAAAATCAATTTGAGAAAATAATTAAAATTCTCAGAAGTGATAATGTCAAAGAATATTTCTCTGCCTCATTTTCTTCTTTTTTATCCTCCCAAAGAATTTTATATCAATCAACTTGTCCTCACACCCCACAACAAAATGGCATTGCATAAAGGAAAAATAGACACCTTATTGACCTTGAGGAAGAGATTTATATAGAGCAACCTCCTGATTTTGTTGCTCAGGGGAAGTCTGGTTTAGTGCGCAAGTTACACCGATCAATTTATGGCTTGAAGCAGTCACCCCGAGCTTGGTTTGGAAAATTCAGTTATGTTATGCATTTGTTTGGCATGAAAAGGAGTGAAGCAAACCACTCAGTGTTTTATTATCATTCCTCTTCAGGCAAGTGTATGTATCTTATGGTTTATGTTGATGATATTGTTATTATAGGCAATGATTATACTAAGATCAACCAACTGAAGAATCATTTGTTTGTTCACTTCTGTTAAGGTTCCAACATAAAACCAATTGGCAATATGTGGAGTAGTCTAACATGTATTTAAACCATACCAAATGACATGAGGTAGGCGATGTGGGACTTTCAACACACCCCCTCCAACGAAGCCTGCCGGACCAGGCAAAGGGTACTTTTGACCCAACTAAAGGGCAACTTTTGGCCCATGACAATAACCGGAAAGATGTTAGGCTTTGACTCTGATACCATGTTAAGGTTCCAACATAAAACCAATTGGCAATATGTGGAGTAGCCTAACATGTATTTAAACCATACCAAATGACATGAGGTAGGCGATGTGGGACTTTCAACAACTTCCAAACCAAAGATCTTGGTCAATTGAAATATTTTTTTGGTATTGAAGTGGCCTAGTCAAAGGAAGGTGTGATCATCTCTCAAAGGAAGTATGCTCTTGATATTCTGAAGAAGACTGGTCTAACAAATTGTAAGCTCATTGATACCCCAATGGACCCTAACCAGAAATTGATGAAGGATGAAGGAAAAAGTTGCCAGATCCATAAAGATATAGGAGGTTGGTTGGTAAACTCATTTATCTTACTATTACCAGACTGGATCTTTCTTATGCAATTAGAGTAGTTAGCCAATTTATGTAAAATCCTTGTATTGATCACTGGGATGCCTTGATTCGCATTCTGAGATATATTAAAAGGGCCCCAGACAAGAGTTGTTATATGAAGATAAAGGTAATACTCAAATTTTTAGTTATTGTGATGCAGACTGGGTTGGTTGTCTAATTGATAGAAGATCGACTACTGGTATTGTATCTATTGGAGGAAATTTGATTTATTGGAAGAGTAAAAAGCAAAGTGTTGTTGCTCGATCTAGTGTAGAAGCTGAGTATAGATCTATGGCACTTGCTACATGTGAACTTGTGTGAATCAAACAATTCCTTCAAGATTTAAAATTTTGTGATATTGGGCAAATGATGTTATTATGAGATAATCAGGAAACTCTTCATATTGCCTCCAACCCAGTCTTTTACGAAAGAACAGTACATATTGAGTATTGTCATTTTGTTAGAGAGAAGTTGTCTAAAGAATTTATAACTGAACTTGTAAGCTCCAGTGAGCAATTGGCAGATATTTTAACTAAATTCTTAAGAGGACCTAGGATTCAATTCATTTGTTCCAAGCTTGGTACATATAATTTGTATGCTCCAGCTTGAGAAGGAGTGTTGAGATCTGTTTATGTATCTTTTAATATTCTTTTTCAATGTTCCTTATACTAGGGTTAAGGGTTTGGGTTGAGGTTCATATCCTCTCTATTGTACCTTTTTTTTATAAATACAATGTATCAGTGTCTCTGGTCACTGAATCAAACCCTAAATAAGTTTTCTAAAGTGAAACAATATGACAATTTTGAAATTCAAAAGTGAAAATAAAAATGAAAATACAAGTAAATGAACCCTTAGTATATCCTAAGGTAACATAGTGTCTTGCTGTACATACTTACACTTAAACTTTCAACAGTTGTACCAACAAACTCCATAGCTTTATATGTTGCACCAGCCACACTTATTTCACCAATAATCTGTGAGGTAAATCATTCAGCAATGTAAGGATGTAATTTTTATATTTGATACATGAAAATGGGCAAATAATCACAATGACAGTCACCTAGTGACTATGCCAACAACCAAGGAACTTACTTGCAGAATTAAATCCTTTGAAAGCAAATAATCAGGCATTTCTCCATCCAATACAAATCTTAAAGTTGGGGGCACCTGCATTTGCATAAGATATATTATGAAAAACAACTATTTCTCCACTATTAACAAATTAAACAAAGAGGTGTGTTAAAGTTCCAACATAAAACCAATTGGCAATATGTGGAGTAGTCTAACATGTATTTAAATCATACCAAATGACATGAGGTAGGCGATGTGGGACTTTCAACACACCCCCTCCAACGAAGCCTGCCGGACCATGCAAAGGGTACTTTTGACCCAACTACAAGGCAACTTTTGGCCCATGACAATAACCGGTAAGATGTTAGGCTTTGACTCTGATACCATGTTAAGGTTCCAACATAAAACTAATTGGCATTAAAGGTTACTGAGCAATTCAATGATTTGGTTAATTGGCTTACAAAAACAAGACTGAATGGAAAAGAAGGAACACAAAGAACATTTTGAAGGTTTAAAGAAGAAGAGATGGATACTTGACCAATTCCTTTAGAGGCTACTTTAAATCCATTAGCTAAAGATATGAAATGGGATGTTTTAGGAAATGAAAGAGAGGAAAATAAAGAGGTATTACCAGACATGTGGTCAGAAGCACCTGAGTCAATAATCCATGGATTTTGACTTTCCACAGATTGTGAAATGCAAGCGGTTGACGAATTTGGTGTTGTAGATGATTGAGCCAAATTGGTTGATTTCATCCTTAAATATTCTTGATACTCTTCATGAGAGAACTTGGGCTCATCAACTTCAGATTTTGAGGTATTAGCTGCCTTATCAGGAAAGTCGTGCAGAGCAAAGCAATTTTCCTTAGTATGTCCCATTCTTTTGCAATGAGAGCACTGAGGACGTCCTTTCCCACCACGTCCTCTATGGCTGTAAGTACCTCTTCCACGAGCAGAAATCATGGCGGAAGAATCAGCAAGTTCCTGACTGTTTTTGCTTTTGATAGAAGGAACATGAAGTAGCCTTGTGATTAAACTCTCCGTAGAAGGAACTTCTTCTCCAGTTAGAATCTGGTCTCTAACATGATTAAACTCTGGATTCATAGCCCTAAGAATCATTACCATATAGAATTTATCCAGCTTCGTCTTCCTTTCTTCTAATGATTCTGCCTCCAGGAACATTTTTAATTCTTCAACAGCTGACTGAGCTTCAGCAACAAAGGACATCATGGAATTATCCTCTTGCTTAAGGGAGGCTAGTCTATTAGCAGAATCATAAAGTCGTTGAATATCGTTAGCAAAGATATTTTGAGCCTTTTTCCAAAAAGAATTACATGTCTTGAAGGCTCGAAGAGTGCTCAAAATATGTGGTTCAACATATTGCCATAATAGTGCACAAAGTTGATAATCCAGTTTCTTCCATTGAGGAGCCTGATCTGCTGGTATAGTACTTCCATCTTCTTCTAGATGATCATGAACTCCTTGACCTAGAAACCAGAGCTCAACAGAGGAAGCCCAAGACAAATAATTTTTTCCATTTAATTTTTCTGTGGTTATAGTCGGAGTCCCAGAAAAAGATACAGACACAGGTCCTGACATTTTCCAGGAAACAAGAAAGGACCAGCGTGCTGTCAGAGAGAGGACCGAGAGAGGCAGAGAGAAAAACGCAGACCCACCACGTTTTGTGACCGAGAACACAAAACAAAGTGCAGATCTGGCACCAGGGCGACGAGGCGAGCCGGATAGAGGTGGCCTGGAGCAAAACAGCCACCGAGAGGGCGGCGCGTGAGGCCCACACGCGGAGGAAGCCGCGGACGAGGGTGGCGCGTGAGGCAGAGATAGAGGAAGCGAACACTGGGGTTGGGTCGCGCTCCTCGAGGCGAGTCAAACCCAAGTGTCAAAGAGGAAAAAGGCGCCGGAGAAGACAGCACTGGCGGCGAACGGCGGCGGACGGCGGTTAATGCCAGAAAAAAAAACAGAGACAGGCAAAGCGGGATGAACCTGCTCTGATACCAACTTGAAATAGAAAAAAGAAAATAAAGAACTGATTTTGAGAGCCTAAAATCATCTTCTTGTGTTCTCTTATTTATAGGAGATAAAAATACATATTCAGAGATACAATTAATAGAGAGACATGATTAATCCTAGAGAAGATAAACAGATGCATTCTAGGAACTAGGTCTACAACTAATCTCATAAATGTCCAACAAGATACACTTAATCTAATAAATACTTTAACAAGGTGTTTCTCCATCTTTGTTCTTGTCCAAAAATGTTTAACAAAAAAATTCATTCTGCATTTTTGGTTTTGATCTCATAATATCTCCAATTCTTTTTCATTCAAAATGAGCAGATAAGTCTTGGAAATACATAGAGCAGCCAACTGAAAGTTACTAACAAGAAAAGCTATAATATGTGCTTTCAAATATTTGAATCGTATAATTATAAATAGTTAAAAGAAAGATATACAACAAAGTTGGTTGCAAATTCTAATCAGTAAACCGCCAAGCTGATAAGAGAAAGATGATGTGAAAAGTGAAAATAAAATGCATTAAACCTATTTAAATCCTTGGGCAGGAGTTGATGATAAAGAAAAAAGTATAATAATTCTACAGCATATCTTCTATTGAAAAACTAAAAGATGAGTCTTGAGCAGAAGCTACCTTGAGCAGAAGCTTCCCAGTTCCCAGCACAAAACCGGCATCAGTATTACCAATCCCAGTAGCAAATTGACCAAATGCTCCAGCAGTACAAGTGTGAGAATCAGTACCTAAGAGAACCTGCAGGTAACAGAGTAAAATTATCAAAGCAGGAACCAAACTTCTGCTAAACAAATGAACAATACTTTACTATAGTAAAATTATCTTGTTAAACTAAACAAACCTCTCCTGGTCTACAATGACCTTCCTGTGCAAGAGCAACATGGCAAACACCCTTATAGTCTGGATTTGCCTGTATTTTTTATAATCCTCAGTCATTGTTCTTGGACATTGTGAATTACAAGGCATTATAAGAATTGAATTGAATTGAACAAATAAAGATTAAAAAGAATGCATACCTTAAAATTACCGAGATCCTTAATATCATAAAAATATTTAATATTCTGCTCATGACAGAAATCTCTTAATATGTCTACATTGCGATTGGCACGTTCATCACTTGTGAATATATAGTGATCAGGTATTATTACAACCTTTTCACGGTCCCAAACCTTCAAATGAACAACAAAATCAGAAAATTACAGAAATAAACAACATAATCAGAAAATTACAGAACTTAGGTCTCAGCATGTAAGAAGATTCACTGCCAAATCATTGAAATTTTACAACCACTCTATGAACCACATAAGTATAAGAACTAAACCCAATATAATTTTCCTGCACAGATGACTTTTAAGTTAAAAGAATCAACCATATAATGGACATGAACAAGTGCGCAATCAAACCAGTAAATGAATTTTGAAGTCCCTACTTGCAAAAATAAACATCATTTTACATCCCTTTTCAGCATTTCCTATGCTAAAACCTCTCACGTGACTTCTAAATTGAGAAAGTTCCCGTGCAGAAATCACAAAGCTACATTCAATAAACAGACACTATCACTTAGATTGCTCTTCAAAATCTTTTCACTAATGACCCCCCTACGTTCTTCAACAACCCTCACAATTCATCCTTTTTCAAACCGCCCTCACAGTTCTAATTAACATCCGATCCAACAACACAGAATGCATATTCACAAAGCATATCTATGAACAACGAGCCCCAACCAAGTCCACAACCATCAGAAAAATCAAAACGCCAATAAAAGACACTCACGAGGTACTATCAGCAAGGCCAATTAACTAACTCACCTTGGCATCCTCACCAAACTCCCTCTTGAAAATCCCAATTGAACCAGGCCCACACACATCATGTGTCATCAAAATATCAATATTGACCCAGACATTATCCCCAGGGCTTAACTGGGCCTTCTCAGAAGCTCTGGCCAATATCTTCTCAGTCATGGTCATTGCAGTCCTCACCTGTGGCACATCAAAACAAACAAAAATCACACACAAAAATACAAAAGTAACTCCGAAAATCTAAAAAGGGTGTCGAAAAACAGAACTGATCCAGTGGTAGAAGGCTGGCGCTGAGGCGCCGCCACAGAACAACGGATTGTCCTTGGAACCGCTTTGAAGCATCGCTGAGAGGAGAAAGCGGAGAGGGAGAGATCCTTCTGAGAGACAAACAAAATAAGAAAGAAGGGGTAAGTTGGGGCAAAGCTATCCCCTTTGGGCAAAACGGGTGGCTAAAAATGAAGTGTTATGAAGCATGAGAAAGAGGAGAAAGTGATTGATGACGATGTTTTGGCTTTGGGAGGGTAGAAGGATACCACAGAACGAACCTTGGTGCGGAGGAAGGAATTGAATGATGGAGAGAGAAGAAGGGAAGCCATGGATTATCGATGGGGAAGCTGCGATGACGAAAATCAAGTAAAGATTGTGTCGTTGTTTACTCTCCATGTGTCTTTGTGGTTATTTTCAAATCTTACGGAACATATTCGAGTGAAATTGAAATATTATTAATTAATAAACTATTAGAGGGTCCGTGTGAAACACGAGTCACTGCGGTAGAAAGAAATAATTTTTATAATTATCTCAAGATCTAAATTATTAATAAAATTTATGCTTTTAAAAAATTGTTTGATGAAAAATAAGATAATAATTATACCTATATTTTGCTAACACATTAGTTTTTGAGTTGTTACATTTTTAAATTACTACATCATCTCTTCTGCTGAAATAAATGTATAAAACACAAATTTTTCTCACAAAACATTGTAAAAAGAAAATGCATAACAAATTCTAAAAGTTAACATCATTCACACAATAAAGAATAATAATGTTAACACAACAATCACACATAAATGTTTGAAGATGTCAAAAAAACTTCAAATATCACAATCATCTAAAAAAAATAACGACAAATTTTCATAAGAGACAAGTGTAGAGCATACTTACATCTAAGTAGGGAACGATAATAAGAATGATATGCTTCAGACTTCCAGAGAAGAGAGAACATATTTAGAAAGAGGACTTGTATTGGATCATTCTTTAAAAGCTTGGATAAGGGACTTGTGTATTTGACAACGTTAGGGATGAATTCCCTAATATAGTTAACTATCCCAAGAAACTGTTGGATTTACTTGATGATCAGATTTTCATCTAAGAAGTTAAGGAGTTATTTACCGATGTGAGGTTGAGGTTGATAAGAGTTTTTACAGAAATGCATACCCAAAAAGTCAACTTCCTTTTGGGCCAAGTGGATCTTTTTCTCTGAGAGCATAATCTCATGTTGATGGGCTATTCCAAAAAATTGATCCAATAATTGTTTATAAGAGTCCATATCTTGTGAGAACAGTAGGATGTCATCAATTTAATTAAAGCTCTATCTAGTATGGGCTCAAAGATTTTTGTCATGGCTTTTTGGAACAGTGATGGGTTTATCTTAAGCCCAAAGGGCATTACTTTTCATTGGTATTGGGCATTAGGTATACAGAAAGCAGTCTTGTATCAGTCAGATGGGTCAATGCATAATTGCAAGAATCCAGATTTGAGGTCAAACTTAGAAAAGATATGGGCTTTTTTTATTAGAGTGGGTAAGGATGAGGCTTTGGGTATTGGAAATTTATCATCGTTAAGAAATTGATTAAGGGGCTTTGTTTCAACAGTTCCTGACATTCTTGTCTTGCTAACTATATGTCTGATGGAGACATTCCTGAATGTGTGACCTTCGTCGAATTAAGCTTGAAGGGTAATTGTACAAAGAACCCAAGATTCTTTCATAGAGGTTTTGAATTAGAAAAGTCTTCATGGTTGTTAACACATAGGGTGGCTAGCTTGTTCTTCATTTCTTCTAGGTCTAGAGGAGCTTCAAAGAGAGAGAAGAGTTTGGGTATATCTGTGAAAGATTTGAATTCTCTCTTGAACTTGATTCATGTAGGATGGATCTGGACTTTGTTAGTCATGGAGAAAATATTCATAACTACGGCTATATCCTTATTGGGAAGCTTGCTCCCAATTATTCTGGACCAAATTGTACACTCTAAGAAGAACTTGATTCCAATTGGAGCTCCGGTGATCAGCTCAATCTTGAAGATTTTTTCGTCAGCTGCAACGAAGTAGGAGGCTTCCTTCTTCCAGAATTTTTTGGGAAGTATGTCAGGATCCATCATAGATTTTTGGGCTCTTGTGTCAAGATAAGTTATAGCTTTAATGGCTTTTTCATACTTCAAGGGAAGAAGTTGGACTTCTAAGCATGGTTGTGGAGGAGAGTGATAGGGTTGGTCTCTTGAAAAGAAAGTACTGGAATAGTATCTGTTTCTGATTCATCGAAATATTCGGATGTTGTCTCGTTAGAGGAGATGGTGAGGGCAAATATGGTCTCTTCATCTGCAAAGCTCTATTCTGAATAGAGAGACTTTATATCATCATTGTCATCAAGCTTGAGGGTAGAGATGAGTTTTATGACTCTTTCAGCTTTGTGGGGACATGTCTTGGAGAAATGTCCTTTCTTTTTGCAGAGAAAGCATCGTTGGTCTTGTGTTTTTCCTCTAAACTTTTTATTTTTGAAGAATTTAAAATTCTTCTTCTTCTTGCAATTGCCTGAACAGGGCTTCTTGCATTTAATCTCAAGATATGACTTTTGGCAGGCTTTGTTGAACTTACTTTTTTGAGTCATGACGTCAAAAAAGAACTTGTGCAGTCTGCAAAGCTTATCAACTGCTTTTAGGGTCATCTAATGGATTTGACCCATAGTTAAGGTGGTGAAGTCCTTCTGGATAGTCATTGTCATCCTGTTCAGTTATGGTTGTAGTTCAACAGGAAGGGATGTGACATAGGTGTTCTTCAGGCTAGGGTAAGTCCATTTAGGTGGTAGAACCTCTTGCGCATTCGCTGATAGATAGTGTTTCTCCATGTCTTTGATCTTAACTGAGCAGTATCTCATTTCAAATAACTCTTGCATGAGCTTCTTGTCGATTATCGAGTCATCCCCTATGAATTCTTCATGTAAGGTTCCAAGTACTGCTGAGATTTGTCCCAATTCATGGAACTAGTTATTAAAAGTGATGAAGATCTTATTGAACCTTATGATAGAATGAAGATCTTGAATATTTGATGAAGTCAAAGGTTCCTTGGGTTAAAGGGTAGAGTGATTAATGAGTCTGCATCAATATAAATAAGTATAATCATGCTTTCTTCTCTACTGCATGAGGGATCATCATTTGAAAGAAATTGAAAATGCCTCTAAACATTTTTAATCTGTTAGAAACCAGTTTAATTGATAAATATGTTCTTAAGACTAAGATTTAATTGATATACTTTAAGATTAATCGATTAAAATCAGTTGGAAACATTCCTGACAAAGTTTTAACTGATATATTTTTGAAATAATCGATTAAAATCATTTAAAACATACACTAGCGTTGTTTTAATCGATACAGAATTGAATTAATCGATTATTTTCATTAAAGTAGTATTTGAAAACCTTTTGTCAGTATTTTAACTGATATAACTTCGAAATAATCGATTAAAATCACTTGAGATATTTTGAAAAGTGTTATATCAGTATTTTAATCGATATAACTTCGAAATAATCGATTAAAATCACTTGAGATGTTTTGAAAAGTGCTCTGGCAGTATTTTAATCGATGTAATATCGAATTAAACGATTAAAACAACTTAAGGAATTTCTGTTAACAGTTTTAATCGATTAAACCAAAGTTCTTATCGGTTAAAATCACTTATAAAGGTTTGAGAAATCTTATGACAAAATTATAATTGATTAAGCCGCGAATCAATTGGTTAAAACAACTTAAGGAATTTTTGTACAACTATTTTAATCGATTAAAACGCAATCATATCAGTTAAAATAAATCTGGAAAAAGATTAAGCACATTTTAATCGATTAAAAGAAGTTTTAATCGATTAATCAAGAATTAATAATTGATTAAAAGAAAGTTTTAACCGATTAATTAAACTAGTTAGTTGAAAAATAACTCTATTTAAACAGGATTACTTCAACGTTTTAAAATAGATCTTTTAGTAATCAATCAAGCAATCATTAGAGAAGTTTTTCAAGAAAGAAGTGTGCCACTTTTGTGAAGTTTTTCAAAGTTCTTTCTTGAGACATTTTTTCATTTTTACTTGTGAAGAAACTCATTCTGCAAGAGCTGCATAATCTGGGTTTGATTGTTCTAGTTTCTTCTCTTTGTTCTTTTCAATTCTTTACTGTATTGTGGGTGTCTGGAAGTGTTGGGCACTGGTTTTGTAGCTAGAACTTAGTTGCAGGTTGGTTCAAGAACTGGAACTTGGTTCTTGGTGAAGGTTCGGTGCAAGAACTGGAATTTGGTTCTTGGTGTGGATTGGGTATTTTGTGATTCGGGTTTGTAATCAGAAACATAATCAATCTAGTGGAACTCAACTAAATTTTGGTTGAGAACTGAACGTAGCCATGTGATTTGGGTGAACTAGTATAAATCTTGTGTGCCTTTCTTTAAACATTTACTCTCTTTTATTCTTCTTGTGCCTTACATAGAACTGCTTATTTTTCTTGGTCCAAAACTTGATCAGAATTCATAATCTCTGAAATAGATAATTTGTATTCTCAAAAGTGGCGAAAAACTTTCAAAGATCAATTCACCCCTCTCTTGATCTCAGCTTACGTTTCTAACAGTTTTGCCGAACAACTCTGAGGTTATGATACCACTCTTTGAGAGATCCAGTCATTCTACAACGAAATTCTTCGTTGACCTTATAGGAGCCAGAGTCTTTGACTAGCTTGGTGTCTAACCGAGCTCCAAATTTGATCAGTCTCGCTCTCTATTGGCTTGGAGGGATGTCACCAATAGTGAACCAGGGTCCACCATTTGACTTTGAAGAAGCATTTGTCCTAGTAGGACCAGAGTCAACTTCTTCATCAGGAGGGACATAGATGCGCTCATGCCTGACTTCTAATCGAGAGGTGTTGGTCATCAGAATTTGGGTTAGGTCTTCAAAACTAAGGACTTCAGTTTCTGACTCTTCAGAGGAATACCTTTCAACAATAATAGGTTTGTAAATGTATCCGTAAGAGTTGGAGTTGTAGGAGTATCCACAAAGGCTGAAGTTGTAAGAGTATCCGTAAGAGTTAGAGTGAAATAAGGCTCTATAACCATCTGAGAATACGGATCTTGAGAGTCTTGGAAGATTGGGTTATATGGGTCTTGCTTTCTAGGTGAAGGTAGATCTTTAAAGAAAGATTCTAGAGAAAATGTGACAACCTTCTTGCCTTTGTCTGGTCTTGGTGGTGCTGGTCTAGGCCATGGCCTGTAAGCAGTGACTATGGGTAATGACCAGGAGGTTTGTGGTGAATAGAGATCTTTCTCTATTTTCTGTTGTTTGACTTTTGTCTTAATATAGTTGTCCATCTCCTGGATTTGGGTCTTGAGCATTTTGATCTCTCTTTCTTTGGCGTGAGACAGTTCTTCAAAAATGGTGTTTTTCCAATCTTCTTCTAGCCTTGAAAGTTTTGAAGAAAGTTGCTTATAGTACTTCCTTATATTGGAGTTGAGATACTGAAGTTTATCATCGATTTCTTCAAGGTGTGTGAAGATCTTGTTTATCTTCTTATCTATCCGTTGCAAGATAGAGTTCTGAGCTCTGGCATTTTCTGTTTTCCAGTTAAGTACTTCCTCAGCCTAGCTTAAGGGTTTCGACTTTCCATTAGGGTCAACTTCTTGTCCGACAACGTGTGGTTTAGTGGTCGTCTTCACGGGATCAACGTTTCTCTCAAGAGGAGGAAATTTTTATTTATAAGCAGTTGGGTTGATCATCATGCATGAGATGGAAGAAGTAATAGGAGGTGGTTTGGCAAAGTTTCTGCACCTTTCCTGTTTCGGGAATAGGAGTCTTTCCTCTTTAAGAATATCGGTGCATTGCGGATATTTCCAAGAGGAATTTGGCTTCTCTTGGTGATGGAGTCCTATCCAGGGACCTTTTCCTGGTTCGAATCTTTTACTGGAGAGAAAGGAGATCTACTGGATCCTTCTCTGTAGTCATCATCTTCATCGTTTGAGTCATCACTTTCCTCATCACTAGTGTCTCCAGTGTGGTCGCAATAGTCACAGTCAGAATCGCACATGTCTAGGTCAGCGTCCCAGATGAAATGTCCTCATATCTTATCAGTGAAGATAGGTTTGCCGTCAGGGTACACACTGACAATGAGGATCTTGTCTTCTTTAGTGACTGGTGTTATCATCATGGACTGGAAGATTGAGGTGCTCGAACTGGGAACATCTTCAGGTTTTTTGAAGATGGTCTTGACCGTGTCATCTAGAGATCTTCTAAAGGCCGCCTCAGTGAACTTGATAGGTTTCTCATTGACGTGGAGCTTCTCATAGTTAGTCACTCACTGCATCAGAATCAGTTTTTACAACTCTTGTTAAGAGATGTTTATGGGGATCTGAATTATAGAGGGTGTCTCATCTTGGTCGTTAGCCAAGACGAATAGTGTTTCGTCCTTACAAGAAGATTTATAGCATGATCTTACAACCTGTAGATAATCTAATGATGGAAGGTGATTGATAATGCATCAGCTACCTGCTCAGTTCTAGTGATCTGGATCCGAACCTTTAATCGCTGAGAGATGGTGGGATATCTTTCAAGCTAACGAAAGATGGTGGGATTACACTCTCGACATTGAGAGTAGTTAGACTAGTGTCGATGATAACATATTCATAGTGAATGTAACTAGGGTCTAAGAGAGACTCTTGCTGAGACAGATGGTCCCCATTTTCCATGGAGGGAAATGACTAACTGTATAACCCGGTAGTAGAGATGAGTGAATACTTCATTTTGTCGAGTACCTTACAAGGTCCTTATTTTAGGATGCATAATATATATATATATATATATATATATATATATATATATATATATATATATATATATATATATATTCATCTCAAATAAAATATTAAATAATATAATTAATTATAAAAAATAAAAATTACAATTATTCATTATTTATTTTTTGAACTCCTACTTCAAAGCTAAACCTTTATAATGAAATGTTAAATTATTATATAATTGTATAACTTTATAAATAATAATATAATCAAATTATAAAAATATTTTTATAATTTAAATTATATTAATAAAATTAATTTTAATTTTAAAAATCAACAAGTAAATAAAGTCCACTAAAAATTATTTTCTTTAAAAATTGATTTTTAATATTATTTATTTATTATATAGTGGTATGATTTAAAATATTTTTATTATTATTTTATCTATTGATATTCAAAGTCCATGTCCATTTTTCATTTAAAAAATAACATTTGAAAGACAAACCAAATCCGGTACCGGATATATTTACTCAAGTCAAATTAGAGCATCTTCAATATTCTTAATTTAAGATATTTACTGTAAATATTTTAAACAATTTATATATTTAAGTTGTTTATTTTGTTTTAAAATAAAAAATATTAATTCAATATTTATAATTAAATCGGGAATATATTTTTTTATTAGCAATGTTTTATTATATAAAAAATATCATGTATGTTACGTAGACTTAAAAAATTAAGATAATAATATATTGTAAAAAAAAAACTGCTATTAAAGATGGTGTTAATTAGTAGGTATCATTTTCCTTCTCCATTTCCATGTGAACAAATGAGGAGTCAGGTTTGAGGTCCCACGTCTTGAATTTAGCAAACAAAAATTGATTGTCATAACATAACTCATAAAGAATCAACGGGTGTTTGAATTTGACAAAGAAAAATGGAGGTGCAACAATGGTGGAGGCTGAGATTCTCCTTCAGGAATGCAACCATGATGGTCTGTTTCTTCAACGTAATCACTGCAATCTTCTTGCTTCATATTTTTCTCACCTCTGCCTACACCCGCAACAAACTCTCCAACTCCAACTCCAACTCAGGCTAGGCCTTTCTGCCCAATTTCTCTCTTTCACGTGGAAATTTGTACCCTTGTAGTTGAATTGGGTCATGGGTTTTTGCTGATTTGTTGATCATGTCCTACAGTTGAGGATTTTGGGAAAAGATTGTGGCTTTTTGTGTGATTGATTGGATTAAGGGCAAAGGGGGTGGGTGGGGGAAGAGTTTTGTTGTTCTTATGATTTTTAAATTTATTATCTTTTTCTTAGATTTTGATTTCGGGTATTCTTAAAAATTTATGATTTTTGTATCTGATAGTTCTTAGGCCTTAGAATTGTGAGTTTGAGTTGTCATGACTGATGTTTAAAATTAGATGATGGATTTCTTGCCAAGTGGTTGTCATATTTTATTTGCTTACTGTCCAGAAAATATATGGGTATTGTTCAATATTTTCTCGGATTAGCTATGTGGGTGGTCCTTAAGTGATGAAGTTTGACCTTGTGGTTAGTGTCTGAATTTTGTGAGATTGGTTTGGATTTGAAGCCATGAATGTTATGAGAGAGAAAGACACAAAAACAGGTTTAGTGATTCCATGTAGCTTGTGTTTCTGTAATTGGTTGTCTCTTTCTATCTCATAATAACAAGATAAAAAGTGAGACAAAAACATAACATCATCGAATGCGGGGTTTAGATTGGTGGTATGTGATGACTAAAACAAGGCTACTGAAGGATCATAAGGATACTAAGAAAACAATAGCATCCTTCAAAAGCAAAATGAAAACATTTTATTTCTGAACTTTTGAGCAAAACAGTTATCTTATAATGACACTGATTCTACTTTTGACATACCTATAATAGACTGATGGTGATATACTGTTAAGTATTTGTTAAACTTGCTTGTATCATATGTTCTAAATTTTAATTTCACATTTTTAATTGCAGTTCAACTCAGTTACATTAAGGAATCTGAAGAGATTCGACTTGCCATGCTACCAGTGGAGCTGATAAAAAGAGTGAGTTTAGAATTTGTTTGGTTCACTATATTTGTTATTACTGTGGTTGTTGAACATTAACGATGCTGAAGATGCCAATAGTATTACTTACAGAGGTAAATACAATAAAACAATCCTTGCAATTTTTTCTGACAAATAGTGATATTTGTACCTTGGAAAACTTGTACCTGAAGTCCATCCAGAAAATGTGTCTAATTATGCATGGAAATATAGTTGATTTTGTTTCATATGTGGTTAATTATAATTAAACATTTCAATGACTTCTAATATTATTAACCACTTGTGGCTTTTGGGCAAAGTTAACAACTATTAGACTTTTCAATGACCTCAATGCACTTTTAATGACGAATCAATTGTTGACACAATCACATTCCTTTATTCTTAACATTTGTGAAGCAAAGTTAACTATAGTTACATATATTGTTAACCATGTGTGATAGTCAATAACCTCGTCACATTATTAATTACTTGTAAATCAAAGTTAACCAGTACTAATATTTCAATAATCTTGTGACTCTCCTAATTATATTCCATGACTCTCCTAACCATTTATGAGATAAAATCAACCATTTTTATAATATGATATGATTAATCATGTTTTCGAGTGGATACTGAGTGAATAAAACGTGGGTGGACATTTTCTTTCTGACAATTGATAGTCTATTTTAGATGTTTTGGAACAAATCTCCAACTTTGTTGTGGTTTTTGATTCATAGTCTAGTTGAAAAGCTGGGAGGAGGTCATCTTTCAAATTATTCACAAACAAAGCCGTTTCTCAATACCAATTTCTCTATTCACTAGTCACTTGAAAGCTTTATCTGTCTGTCTTTGCATCTCTAATGTTAACATGAATTAAGATATTCTTTCTTAAACACATTTTCTTGGACAATGCTCAAGTTTTTATTGTTTCAGCCAAATCCCTCTTTTTGTCATTTTATTTTCTCTTTTCCTTTTTATGATGACACGCCAACGAGCTTCATTGCAGTTCACTCACTTCATTTCTCTCTATTGTTTAAATCCATATTTATCCTGAACATAGCTTGGCCAGAGTAATACAAATTGTAAACTTTTAGTTCTTCAGTGGGTCATAACATGCAACCATCAATGATATGCCTCATCGTGTCCATTGTAATCAGACACTCATTTAGTCATTTACTTAAAATTGCCCCGAGTCTAATATTCAAAAGCTAGACATCAAGGTAGCTAGGTCAAGTATTGGAATTGGTAAGCGAAAATCAAGTACTTGTTTATTCAACATGGCTACATATGTGCACCTAGTAATCAGTTCCCCTTGAATTTCTTCTTCTGCATGTTTGGCCTTGAATTACCTTGAAAAGTTGGCAGTCCTAATACTTGAATATCCTGACAAAATTTCAGTATGCTGCTTACTTTCCCACTGCAATCATATCTATACACTTTGAGCTTTAGGCATACATATCTGAAAAAAAAAATTAAGTACTATGTTAGCGAGAAAAAAGTTTAAACTTTTCGGTAGGCCAAGATTTATTCTCGACTGTCCTGACAATCTCCTCTTTCAACTTTTGGTTTATATATGTTTTAAGAATACATTTTCAATAAATCTGAGTGTCTTCCATTTTAGGTGAGGGAGATTGAGCAGGAAGTATACACTGAACCAGAAACAGCCCAGAAGAAAGACACAAAGCAGACTGCTGCAGTTGATCTGTCTAAAAGGTTGAAGGATTTCCGTTCCTTGAATGACGCTTCCAGCTTGAAAGGTTTCTCTCTTTTCTCCCTACAAACCTATCACAATCATAACTTGATTTTATGTGCAAATACACAACAAACTCAGTAAATGTGCATGTTCATTATTTCCCTACTGTCATTTGTCAGAAAAATAAGTTATTCATGAAGTTTTCCAGGGAGTATTACTTAATAATGATTTCAATTCCATTATATTTGGAATTTCGAATTATCATAGTGATTGAACAACATTAGCTATTTATGTGAGGATCCTTCATTAGGAAATTTTGTGACATGGACATGATTTGTGTTTAAAGGCTTATACAATTAGGTGATTATCAGTAAATTTTACGAAGGCTATACTCAAACCTATGGATGGTTTACTAAATTTGGGTTCACTCAAGGACAAGCTGATCACACCCTTTTCGATAAACAAGTTGAACATGGGAAGAAGGTGGTTCTTATTGTTTACCTTAATAATATAGTCATTACTGGTGATGATACCCAAAGATATTGAAACTTAAGTCAACTTGTAGAATTCAAAGTAAAGGTCCTGGGACACAAATTGTTTTCTTGGGGATGGTAATAGAAAGGAGTAAGAAGGGTATTTTCATAGTTCAAACAAAATATACCCTTGATCTACTAAGGGAGACTGGAAAGTTGGGGTGCAAGACTCCTGGAACGCCTCTAGACAGAAATTGGAGAATAAACTTAAATGAAAAAGACTCTTGGAGAAGGAATTCTACAAAAGCGCTTGGTAGGTAGGAAAATTAATCTACCTATCTCTCAAGTATAGTGAGTTAGATTATGCATTCTCCTACCAGAAGGCATCTTGATGCTATAAACTAGATTCTTAGCTACCTAAAGGGGACTCCTGGGAAGGATCATCTATTCCAAAAGAATGACCACCGAATGATTGAATACTTTGCAGAGATTGGCAGGTACTATGGAAGATGCAAAGTCGACTACAGGGTATTGCACAAAGTGTGGGAAAATGTTGTGACATGGAGAAGTTAGAAGCAAACGCTTGTCGCAAAGAGTAGTGTGAAACAGCATATAGAGCAATTGTTCATGGTGTCTGTGAACTTATTTGGGTAAGTAGGTTACTACTACAAGACCTATTTATTCCACTTGAAGTCCCTATGAAGTTGTACAGTGACAGTAAATTAGCCATCAACATAGTTCACAATCCTATTCAACATGTGAGGATTGACTGCAACTTCTTAAAGTCAGAAATTAAACGTGTAACTTTCAGCCTACTACGTGCCAACCAAATCCCAAGAAGCTGATATGTTCACAAAGTCATTATTGAAGTCATAATTTAATTTAAATGTTTCCAAGCTGGGAACAATTGACATTTATTTGTCTGCATGAGGAGGAGTGTTGGATTTAGTTTAGATGGTGCTAAAATCAAGGGATTATGATATGGATTTAGTTTAAATGGTTTTCAAAATCAAGGGATTATTATGATAAACACAAAACATAAGAAATGGTTAGTTGTATATTTGTAATTATTGGGAGAATATTGTTTCCCTATTTCTAGGGTCTGATTTGTAGCTAATGTTTAGGGATATGTCTGTTTTTAATTTCCTAATTTTTAGCTTGACATCAACCAACCCATCTGCTGTATAAAATGTACCTTGGTTTGGTTTCATAGTGAAGAAACACACAAAAATCATCTCTAAACCTTTTGTTTACAAAATCATACCAACAAAATTGTAGTGGCATTGGAGTTAATCCCTTTGATGATTGTGGTTTTCAGCTTTGGAGGAATGGAGAAAGAGGAAGATGGAGAGGGCCAGACAAAGAGAATTGGAGAAAAATGGAACAACTTCATCAACTTCCTCTTGACTCTATACATTCTCTAAAATCAAGTGAAGGTTGACATGCTGATTTAAATACATAATGTGACAACTAGTAGTCATCAGTGTACACTGTATAGCATCTTCAAAATTTCCTCACATAGCTATGTTCTGAAGTGCATCTTTCTTACAGACAGAATGTGTGATCGGTAGTTTGATACTACCATTACTTTATATTACAAAATATAGAAATAAATAATTTACCCGTGTCCTCGTCTTGTTTGGTTTGTATACGGTGTTATTATATAATTTAAATACGTGATAGATTATTTCATATATTTTGATTATTGACCAAATATAACTAAATAATATATATATATATATATATATATATATATATATATATATATATATATTAACACGAGTATAGATCCTATAAATGTAGAAAAGAATCTCTCAAATCTCATTTTTACAAATCTTGTATTATTTTTTATAATCCCAATAATAATTAGAACGAATTAAATTCTCTAAAAAATCTTACTTGTTTGAGGAATAGATTGTATTTTAACATCTTAAATAACTTTTAAAAATAAGATATAGAATTAAAAATATATTTTATTATTATTATTATTTTACCAATCTTAAATGTTTTTGTAAAAAACTCAATCTTCAAATCTAAAAACAAAATTGGTCTAAAACCTTCTTAGGTCAAAGGGGCTAGGATTTGCCCACCACTTCCCCCTCACATACGCCTATTCTATTAAACATTTATACAAAGCACTCATTACACATCCATAAAACCCTTTTAAATTATTTTATATTTGTGTTGCCAATAACACTTCCTCTTTATTTTAATATAAACAAATCTTGGATTTTGTTTGGTCAACTTAAATATAACTAACTATTAATTTCTTAAATCTTATTTAATGCTAATATTCATTATTCTTAATATATAATTGAGGGTAATTTAGGAATCTAATGAAAACAACAAATATTAAATTAATTATTATTTTCATTCAATATATTTATTTATTAAAAAAAGATGTATTTTCAAGATTAAAAATTACAATTTTATTTATTCATCTTTCGTGTAATATAATTATTAAGATAATTATTATCTTATATTATTAAATTATAAGAATAAAAAATAAATATTTAACTTTTATCTTTAAAATAAATTAAATTAACTTAAGTTTTCTCAAATTTATCCTTTTATATAAATTCATTTTTCTTAACTACTTAGCACTAATTTTGTAATGATTTAAAAAATGATATATGTCAGCAAAATAACTTTTCTTTATTATTAAAGTTTGATAAATAATAATTAAAATATGTATAAATAATTATCACTCATAATTATAAATGTTGTATGGTCTGATTTGTATAACCTCTAAATGAGAGAACAAATATGATTTATCATACTTATTATTAAGAAAACGAATTAACGTTAAAAACATGCATTTATGCGTAATATGTGGAAATTTTGTGTAACAAAGCTATCAAAATTTAACATCAAAATTAATTACCTCATGCTTATTCATATTCTCATAGAACCCAATCTTAATATCGAATAAATTAAAAAATAACAGCCATAAACAATGAATAATGAAATAAGAAAATTTCTTTAAGCTTGGTTCCTTAATCAAGATATCATATCGAAGTATTATAGATATAAGATATATTTGAACGAGTTTTCTTAAAAATAACTTTTATAAGAGAAAAGAATACGAAAAAATATATTTTTTTATAAATTTAAATTAGAAAGAATCAATGTTTTTCTAATTTTTTAATTTTAATTTATGCAAGAATCAATGTTTTTTAATGCATATTTTTGTTGTTGTTTTTTTTCTTATAAATCCTGATGTAGAAACTCAAAAAGACTCGTAACAATGTGGTTATAAGAAAAGATCCACTAAGAAAAAGTGAATCAAGTTATCCAATTTGAATGCTTCACATTAATGTTAACTACAAGAAGAAAAACAATGAAGCATAAGATGGTGGGGGTTATGGTTAATGTGATGGGTATGTATGCCTACTGAAGCGTGTGGCAAGCTTGTTCCAAATGGAGATTAGGGTTGTGTGTTTGGATGTGAGAGTCAAAGTAAATCAAGAGTGTTTGGTTGAATTGGGGTCACAAATACCAAATCATTTGAGTGCAAAGTGAGTTAAGATGGAAGAAAATGTGGGAAATGTAATAAATTAGTAACTTAGTCTCTAACTCATACCATTATTGTCCAAATAAAGCTGCCATTAATTAGCAAAACTGGTTGCCAACAACATCTAATGTACAGAAACAGATTAGATCAAAACAACACATTAGTTTGGTTTGCACCACGATTTTTATGTCCTAAAGTTTTTGATGTTGATTGTGTAAGTGGGTGTCTTCACAATCCACCATCACATTCCTATTATCTAATTCACTTCTTAGTTAGGTTATGAATATAATATTCAGCTTTTAGGTTTAGAAAATTAGTTTGTGTAGACAAAAGTTTTTTTTTTAGGATTTAAAAACTTGAAATCAATTAAAAGTAATTTAAAAAATCTAAAAGATATATAAGTCACATTCAAGAAATTAAAATAGATAATATGAAATTATTCATTAGATAAGATCTCTATTATAAAAGATAATAATTAGGAAGATGGTTATTACAATAGATTTATCATGATACATATTATAATAGAAAAAGAAGAATCTAATAATTTAAAATCATTTTAATTATATAAGAGAATATGATATATTTTGAACTCAAAATCTTAAAACATTAAATTATAAGACTTTCTCACTTATCTATAATGATGTCTAAAAAATATAACATTTTTTATTTGAACAAGAGGTACACTAATTAATAAAATAAATGAAATAGTAATTAATACAAAATTAATTAATTACTTAACTTTTTTATAAGTTCAACTCAGGTTTGAATTATCAAAATATATGATGAGAAATTGTGAAATATTTAATATAAAATTAATTAGTAATAGGTGGGATAGTCTAATAGGTATCTAACTCATATTACATGATATGAGATATAGATGATGTGGGTTCTCAACCTGTTCATTTTAATGAAGTCGATTGAATCAGGCAAATAGTATTTTGATTCATAATTAAAAGACAACTTTTAATCCAAGACATGACATGAGACCGACGATTAGGAACTTTCAACACCCCTCTAATAAAGTTTATTGGACAGACAAAGGATATTTTGACCAACAACAAAAGAATAACTCTTAACCCAAAATAACAATTGGAAGCTTATCAGATTAAATAAATGATATTTTAACCCTGACTCTTCGCACAAAACCACGCAACAAAAAATAAATTAGATTTTAACTTAAATATCATGTTAAAAATACAAAATAAAACAAATTAATCACATATGAAATAATCTATCAAATATTTCAATTATACGTATGACGTGATACAAAACACGAGACTTCCTATATAAACCCATTTTTAATGAATTAATGATTTCATGTGTGAATTTCTAATTCATGTGAACCATGGTAGTTTCTACCTAAACGGAAATTTGCAGGCATGTTTATTTATGTTTATTTGAAGCTTGAAATTAAAAATTATATTTGGAAAATTTATTTGAAGTTATTAGTCAATGCTTACTCTTCATCCACTTAAGAACAGGTATGTAAAGTGAAGCGAAGATAATGATGGTATAAGGTATAAAAGAGAAAATAGAATAACAAATTCTGAATGTTACCACAAACCCCACTTTATGGGGGATTTTCAGGAACAAAGAATGACACCTATGGTCAAAAGATCATGAATTAAGTTAATTCATTTGCAATTGTGCACTCTTTTTTGGCTCTTTTTAGGTTTAATTAGCCACTGAATTATTTTTTAATTTTACATATTAGTTTCATAGTGATTTTAGACTATGAAATAATATTTTGGCCACTTAAAAACCCTACTAAAAAAAATTTTATGTTCATGATAACATAAAATAATTTTATATATTATTATCTAATTTTAAGATAATTATTATAAAAGTTAACAAATTAAAGCTTGTTTGTTTATTTTAAAAATAATAATTTTTTTTAAACTAAACAAATTACTTAATATCTGTGTTTTATGAATATTATTTTTGAAAATAATTTTTATTTTTTAGTTTCTAAAAATAAAAAACCAAAACTGCTAAGATGGTTTTATTCTTTATGGTGTCATTTTTTTTAATTTAAAATTATTAAATAAGTTTTTTTTCAAGTTATTCAAAAGGATTTATTTAAAATTAATTTCTAAAATTATCTTTAAAATATATAAAAGAAAACTAAACCAAATAAACTCTAATTATACAAACTATATACTTTTTTCACATTAAAAAATAATTTATAAATCAAATTAAAATTTAACAGATTATTTTAAAATGGCATGAATAATAAAACCTTTTTTTATATTTAAAATTGGTTTAATTTTTTTTGTATAACATATTTACAAATTTGACATTTGATTTTGAATAAAAAAAATCTTGAATTTTGTTTCTAATTATTATTTTGTATTAGGTTATATCAGTATACTACCTATATTAATATTAACATGATATTGATGAAAAATATATCACTAATGATAAAAAAAGTATTGACCAAAAAGAATTACAAAAATATTTTAGGATTATTTAAAAACTCTAACCTAATAAAATTTGTAGATTTTTCAATAACTGAAAACTTATATTACCTTTAAAAACAATAGTGAATACCAACCTCGATTGGTAAGGTCAAATAGTTACCAAAGTAAAACAAATTAAAAGGTTGCAATTGGTTCACCAATTTCAAAATATCATCTTTAATTATGTCATCACTTCATATGTGTTTTCTACCAAAGAAGCTTTTAAATATTATTCTATATCAGTTTTTTTTTTTTTTACATATTAGTCTAATTGATGAGTTATAAAAAAAGGTTAAAAATAAAATAAATATTTTTAAAAATATATATGTTGATATTCATGTTTATATGAATTTTAAAAAAATGGAATTAGAATGTGTTTTAAGCATAATAAAATTTAAACTTGTCTTTTTCTTTTTAAATACAGCCGTTTTATTTTTAATTATTATAAATGTGAATTACTTGGTTTTGTTTAAGTAAAATAGTGGTAAATAGATGAAAAATAATGGGTCATAAAGTTGGGTAGCATTAGTGGGTTAAGACATGACATAATGCTATTTGAGGTTGTGAAAGATCATAATATCTTTCCAAGAATGTAGAATTGGTGTTTATAATTTAATTAAATATGAATAATTGAATTAATTTAGATGGTGTTAGAAAGTCACCACATTGGTTATCATTTTTAAATATTTCTTCACTCTCATAATGAATCTCACATGTCTCATTCCAAGATCCAACTCCATGTCTACTACTTCTCCTCATCAAATCTTTACCACCATCTCGTATCTTCATTTTCACTTTCTCTTTCTCTTTCTCCACCACAAAATATTCTTTATTCATCAACATTTCGTTTATATTAATGTTTAATGTTTTTTTCTTTTTCTCTTATAAATGTGCATCATTTATTAGTGTCTTAATGATTTAAATAATATGTTCACTAAAATATTTTAATTTTTTTTATGAAAGGAATTACATTATTAAAATGTGTTAATCAATCACAAGTTAAATTAATTTGAATGCATATAGTTTTTAATACGTTACAAAAATTGGTGGTTTGTGATTGTGGTAACAACACATTGTTGAATTATATATATAATTGGAATATTTTAGTTGTTTAAATAAAAAGTAGAAAACCTTGGTTGATCTAACCAAATCTTAAACTCACATGATATGAAATATATATGGATATTTTTCTACAATATCTTGTGATGATTTTCCATTAAAGAAAATCTTGAATGTGGATACAATCATGTAATTAACATCTTGCGTCACTTTTCTATGTAATCACCTTAAAGCTTCCAAAACATTTAATTATTGGCTTCATGCACTTTAGTGACAATCCAACTCAACATAAATTTCAACTTCAATTTTAGTGGGTTTTGTCCACATGCTATGATCAAAGTATATATATAATAAAAATTGATAAATATTTAATTTAATTTTATAAATTCGACCCAATAAATAAGATGAAGTTTGTATATATTTGTATATTACGATATCATTATATTTCGGGGTCCACGGAGAGAAATATTTTAATATAATTAAATTTGATTCTAATATTATCTTATAAATAAAGAAATATTTAATTCAATCTTACAAATAAATTTAATAAAATAAAAATTATACTGATTTATATATTATAATATTATTATATTTTTAATTAATATTAAATTTTTTTCCTGCTAGTGAATTTGTTATGTTGTTAAAGAAAACCATAGTGAAAAAACATTTTCTTCATTAATTAATTCATAAATACAAAGAAAAGGATATATCATAAGCTGAATTGAAGTGAAGAGTATATAGATATTATAAAAGTGAAATTAATTTGAAGGGATGAATGAGTGTGAAAGTTGGTAATTAATAAATGGTTTTCTAGAAACACTAGGCATGCCACAACATAACTCTATAATACATGTTAAACAATATAAGCCGAAAGAGAAATTAGATGACCCCACAACATCCTAAAACATTGATCATAATCTACTTTGAAAAGACACCCAAAAGGAACAAGACATTATAAATATTCGTATCACATGTGATCCTCTCTCACCGTTTCTCTTCAAATTTATTACCAAACTCGTTATATTTATTATTCTATTTTTAATGTATAATATTCAGAAAATAACCAAATATGTAAATTGGTTAACGTAATTTACTAAATAGTTTCCAGATCTTGAATATTTATATCAAATGTTTGGTGAGAGATTTTTTTTTCTATAATAACATTTTTTTAATACAATAATAATCGTGTGTAATTGGACATCATTGTTTTCCTTGATAGATATTTGTGGTTTTTAAAACAACCAACATTGAAAAATGACATTCATTGCGGAGTTAATTAGGGTTGAAAAATTGACTGTCCAAAAAGAATTTGTTTTAATTGAGATTTCATTTTCGGACTTACATTTTATAAGTGTATAGTCTAATATTATTTTATCCTTTAAAGAAAATTATACTATTTTATTTCATTGTACATAAATAAATTAATAATTCTCATCCATCATCCCTCTTGAGTCACAGTGAGTATCATTTTCGAGCTTCTAATTCTATAAAGAAACTTATATTTTTACAAAAATAACTGATAAGTTAATTGAACTTAGAAAGGTAAATTTTGGATCAAATATAAAAATTATAAATTTTTGGATTAAATTTAAAATTTTTAATATAAAATATATTTTCTCAGTTATAAAACTGTTTAATTAATTTTAAATTACGTTGATAAAACTGTATACTGTTTAATGAGAAATGTATCTTAAAAAACTTTAATTGAATACAAATGAAACTAATCTCATAGTCACATTTATATTTTAATTCAAATAGAATTAAATTCGAATCTTTAAAACAAAAATAACCCCATAATTATATTTACATCTATTCTACTATTATGTTTTATTTTATTCTTTATTGATGTTAAATAAAAAATATTGTTTATTGTATATTTGAGGTGACTTAAGGATTTGAGTAAGATGAAAAAGCTTTCCCAATTTCATTGTATTGTCTCCTTTTAAAAACTATAAACAAATCTCAACAATGAAAAAGATAATTTATATTAACAAAAAAAAATATTTTGCCACTCAATAAATATAATCCTTGGGTTAAAAATTACATTACCGCATGTAAAGAACACAAGATCTAATCTCACTTTTAGAACATCACCTTCTACCTTAAATAAATATGGTATTATAATTTTAATAAGTACTTAGGATTTTTAGGGGATTTCCTTTGTATATGAGACAAAAAAAGGGTAAAAGAATTGCCAACAATAACAATAGAAGAGTGGCAAAAGGAAGAAAGACAAAAAAGATAAAACTGATGAATAAAAGAGATAAAAGAGAAAAACAAACACTTTAATAAACTGATATTGTTTATTATGAAACAGGAAAAGAAAGAAAGAAAGAAAAGGTTAACATTCTCTTGTGAGTGCATGAAAGATCTTAGATTTGTCTAAATAAATTAATTGTTAACTTTATTATAACATGAAAGAGTTCATGCCTCCAGCATTTCACCAGCACCATCTTTCCAAAAATATGATCACAAGACAACACCTGTCACCTTAGATGACGTCCAAAGCATGATAGCCTTAATATTTAAAACCACACAATACTCAAAATGGTATCCAACAATATTATAATTTAATGAGGTTTTAGAGATTATAGTCCTCTTGAGAAGTAAGCAAATCCAACAGCTGGGGAAAGACCATTAGTCCTCTTGCAATTTCTGGTTTTAAAAATGGCCACCACCATATTTTATGTGTCATACTTTGGATTATGCCTCCTTAGCTTGCAGTTTTGGGTCCAGGTGCAATGACCCTATTTTACAGGTGTCTCAGGCAACCAGATTTCTCTTCCTATTTGTCTCATTTTGGCACCAACCTTAATGATATGATCCATTTTCTTTTAGATTCTTAGTCATGTCACCTAATTGCATAACACATCATTGTTTGATCTGCATCTCCTAATGCCCTTCATAAAATTTCATGATAAATAAATAGTTTTTAGAATAATGCATGTAAATTTTATGATGATTATATCCAAATGACAGAAAGAGGGTAATGGTATTATGGTCAATTCAGAGTTGATGGACAAGCATGCAACATTTTCAGTGTCACTTGGTCCCTTTGGTTTATTTGTTTAATCATATTCTTAAAAAAGTGTTACCCGTAGTACCTTAAACAGTGAAGTGGATAGACATCATAAGAAGTTAAGAAAGTGACCTTTGATTGACTGATAGAATCCAGTTGGGGGCAAAACTTCAGGTATAAATATGCAACAAACACTGGCATCAAAACATGCAACAAACACTAGACCCAATTGAGTGTCACAGAAATTGGAAGAAAATATTTTATCCAAGAACAGACTTTGAAGCCTTATTGCATGTATTGGGGGGAAGTTATGGCTTGCCATATGGGTCGGGGTGTGATGGAGGAGGAGGCATGGAGGAAGGGACCTTGGACTTCTGAAGAGGACAAGTTGCTTGTTGAGTATGTCAGGCTGCATGGTGAAGGAAGATGGAACTCTGTTTCTAGGCTTGCAGGTAACAAAAACCAAGTTTTTCTTTTTCCTGTTTTGTTTATTAACTGAATTTTACATTTATAAGTAACAATTCAACCATTTCAGCTTCTACTCATCACAGTGGCTACATTCATTTGTACCTTAAAGATCTTCATTTTGAAAAGTATACTATAATATGGGAGAAACTATTCTATGATCTGATATCTGTTTATGATTCCTGTCAATCTCCACATATAATTGACTGGAACTATCATAATCTCAGATTATAAAATAACTTGTGTTTGGAAGGATCTTTTCTAACTTTTATCTTCTTATATTAATCATCTTTATTCGTAATATTAAGGGCAAGTGATTAAGTATGTATTGTTGTGATTAGTGATAAGGTCAAGTGATGATGTATCCTAGTGTAAGTAAATATGTGTTCTTGTTGTTGTTGTTGTTCATCAACAGGATTGAAAAGAAATGGGAAGAGCTGCAGATTGAGGTGGGTGAATTATCTGAGGCCTGACCTGAAGAGGGGACAGATAACACCACAAGAAGAGAGCATAATTCTAGAGTTGCATGCTAGGTGGGGAAACAGGTAAAATTTTTAAGTCAATTTTCTTGCACTTGCAAATCTTTTGGCAGCATATTTTTCCAAGTCCTTGACTGCTGCTAATCGCTAAACCAAAATCCTTTAGATGGTCAACAATTGCAAGGAGTTTACCAGGGAGAACTGACAATGAGATAAAAAACTATTGGAGGACTCATTTCAAGAAAAAGGCTAAAAGTCCCTCTGATGCAGCAGAGAAGGCAAGAAATAGACTCCTGAGGAAGCAGCAATTTCAGCAGCAACAACAACAACAATTGCAGCAGCAACAGCATCAGGCACAACAACAACAACTACAATTCAACTTTGACATGAAAGGCATCATGGCCTTGCTTGAAGACAACACACATAGAGCACCCTATGCATCTCAATCTAGACAAGAAATGGTCAACATGCAACAAAACAGCACAGAAGAGCAAGGATTCTTGTACTCTATGCTCAATGGCCACCCTTCTGCACAAGATACCTCAGCTGACGAAATTTTGTGGGATGGTCTGTGGAACATGGATGATGTTCATGGCAATTCCAATGTGCATAGTGCAGCAAGCAAAGTTGGTCTATACAGTTTAGTTGCTCCCTTCTGTTAATGGTTTAGAACGGTACTCCTAGTTAATGTAGTCATAGTTTCATAAGGCTCCAAGAAAAAGAAACAAGAGCTTTGGAGTTTCCACGAGTTATTGTTGTTGCATAAGGTGTGTGGTAGAAGTAGTAAATCATATTCTGAAGGCAACTTCCTCTGTAACCTGTCAATAAAGTGTCTCATTTTTGCTTATAAAACTAAAATGAAGTTTGCTTTTGGACAACAAGCACTAATGACAACTTTCCAGCGTCTAGGAAACCAAGAAAGAACCAAATGCAAAAGAAACTGATAAAGGGAACTTTCCCTTTGCATTTATCCCAAAAGCTAACTAAAAAATCACACGAGTTTTTTAATAAATCTTCTCACACATGGAGTCATTTGGTTTGAAATATGAACAATGAAGAGGTGAATGAATACCTATAGAATTGGATCCAGAATATGAACAAAATATATCATCTCTTAATGAAAATTTTAATTTATTCTATCTTTTATCTCTTATATATTTTTTTTCATTTAATTAAAACAAATCATGTAAAAGTAATACATTTTTTTATGGACGCAAATAGATTATTTACTATATCCATAGGCATGTTAATTTCTTTCTAATTGGATAGTTTTTTTTCTTTCATTTCTTGAACGTATTTTATAATGTATATTAAATATAAATATTAAATAATTTATTAACTTGTAAAAATTAAATAATTAATATAACATAAATACTTTTTGAGATTCATCCCGTCATAAAATATATTAAAAATTGAAAAATATGCAATGGTCACGATTAAGCAGTTAAAAAAACTATGAGATGAAGATTATCCATAAACTAAGCAAGAGAATCAAAACGAAACTAAACCTAAATTTGCTTTTTTTTTTATTAAAGAATATATAGCAAGTGACAAATTAAGATTAAAAAAGAAAAGTCTAAATTATTCTCATCCGTTCATTTTAAAATGAAAAATTTTGACAACTAATAATATGTTTTCCACGTTAAAGAAAAAAAAAACAAAAACATGTGGTTTCAAATATTCTATCATGAACCATTGATCCCAAAAACTTGTCTTGTTAAGCAAAGACACGCACACGAGTATCTTTACATATGATTTTCTTATACATTTTTTTTTGTGAAATTGAAAAGAAAAGGAAAGAAAAAAGTGCAAGCAAATGATAGAAAACTAGACTCAAATTGTGTAAAGCACTTAAAAGGATCTAAGAAAGTAGCCATTTAAATGAAATCCCTTTAAGCATAGATTATGGGACACTTTTGGTGCATGTAAAACCCAATACATAGTTCACATCTTTGGATTCTTTGTGCTTGTTTAATCCACACATGGATACAAATGCTTAATATTTTTCTTTTTGCTTTGTTTGGAATTAATCAATTGGACTTTGGCCTTAAACTAGGACAGAACTGGATTCTTCAACACGTCACATATCTCACAAGATATCTTTTTTAATTTCACAAATCATTCACATATATACGTGTTCATCATGCTCTCAACTTTTATCATCATGGACTCCAATATTCTCTAAAAACTATTTTTTATTTATTTTTTAATTTCCCTGTTAATGTATTATCAATTAGAAGAGGGTTAAATTTAATTACTTTATTATATATAGTTTTACTATTGTTTAATTTTAGTTTTTTAACAAATTTTATTCTAAAATAAATATTAAAGAAAATCTCTAAGAAAATCTTATTTTAATATTTAATAATTAAGATTAATTATTATTTTAGATAAATAAGTTATTAAAAAATAAATAATAATAATAAATAAGTTTTTAAATGAATTTTATCTTATAATTTATATATTAAATTATTAAATAAAAAATAATTTTATTAATATACTTTAAATTTTAAAAATATATTTTTTATTTTGATTTAAATTTTTAATTTTCAATCAAGACAAAATTTTTTATTAACCTATTTGCCTGACCTAGAATGATATTAGAGTAAAAATTATAATTTATTTTAAAATATATTTCAAAGATACGGTATTAATTTTTTTTCCATCAACCAGCTTATCCACCCATTTTCATCTCTAAATCTATTACGAATACAAAATGAATACCCATGAATAATGGGTATTTAATTATTAGCTTATTAACAGGTATTTATCGGTTAATTATTTAACTTTTTTAGAAATAAATTATCAAAACAAAGTTATTCATAAGAAAAACATTAAATATTGGAGAATCGTTAGAAATTTTAAATTTATAGATTTAATATTTTTTTATCTAAATTTATAAAATTAAATTTATTTAAAGGTATTAATATTATTTAAATTTATATTTTATATTATAAATTATTTGAATTAATATTTCATAAAAATTAATTTTATTTATATCAATATTTTATGATGTAATTCTATTTAAATTATACATTAAGATAAAAAAAACTATTAAAGTGTATATTTAAAAAAGTTAAATAATTTTATTTAAAATAAAAATATATGTGAATATCCATGAATGTTTGCAGATTTTTTGTACATAGATATTTGATGGATAATAACCATTTTTTCTCTTTTATTTTTTTTTTGCAAGTAGCTACTATCAATGTATAAATAGTAATGAGAGGGTGTCCATAAGTAAAGTCCATGACTCTGTCAGATCACCTTTTTTTTTTCTTAAAAACACAAAACTATGGAGTAGGACCTTAAAAAAAAAAAAAACACTACAATACACCATCTTGTTAACACAGAAAATTATTTTTAATTTTTCAACATTTGCACATTTTCAATACCATTTAAAATTTAGATTTTATTATAGCTTGTTCCTTATATTTTTAAAAATTCATAATTTTGGTCCATAGTTTTTTTTTCTACACTCATAATCCTTTAATTTTTATTTTTGTACCTAATTTTAATCCATAATTTTTAGTTTTAAATTTAATATCTATATGTTTTTATTATTTTAATGTTCAGTCGCATCTTTTATAGAATTCGAAAGAATAATAATTATACAGGTTTATTATTAAAATAATTTCATAATAATTTAATATGTTTTTAAAATTAGTTAAATAAAGTTATAAATAATTAAAATTAAAAGACTTAAAAATAAAAATAAAAGTTGGGATTTTTATAAAATATATATAGACAGAAAAAATATAATTAAATCTAAAATATTTATTATAAACCCCCCTTAAAACTTTTTTTAATCAAATTCATGAGTATTTGTATTCCATCCCTAAAAACATTGAATTTAATGAATTTGTTATAAAATCATTGAATTTATAAAAAAAATTAACATAAATTTAATTTAATTTATACATAAATTATAACTAATTTTTTTTATAAATTACTTTATATATTAATTATTTTTTATTTATAAAAATATAATGTTTTTATATTTCTATTTTATAAATCTTTGTAAAAAAAATTGAACGGGGGTTTGGATTAGACTGTAGATTTAAAAGAATGAAAAAGAAAATAAATAAAAAAATAGAAAATAAAATTATTTGAATTATAAAATAAAAATAAAAATAAATATTAATTATTATTACTTTTTTCAACTGAGAGTTGTTCGAAATATTTATTTTTTTTTTTACATTTTGTTACTAAAATTTCAGTTGTTTCAATTTACACTGATTCTTTAATTTTATTTTATTTTAATAAAATAAGGATGCGTCCAGAAAAACTAAAAACAATAAGATGAATTTAAAACGTTGTTTTACCAAAATTAATCAGAAAATTATATTATTTTGATTTTTTTAAATAATTTAGTATCACTCTGCCCTATGAATAATGAACTGGTAAAGTAAAAAAAATATGATAAATTATAAATAAAAAATTGATAACATTCATGAAAAAGTAATAAACGAGTAATAAAACTTATAATTAAACTTTCTATAATCATTATTCATTTTAATTTTCTTAAAATTGAGTTGATATATTAAATATATTAAAAGTTAAATATAAGATTGAGCTACTAATAGTCTCTAACTCTTGTATAAATAAGAAATTAGTGAGAGATGAGTTTCGATAATTATAATAAAATAAATAATTTTTTTTAAAATATATAAGATAATTAAATGAATATATGAAATGGGGTTATGTATAATTTTGAAAGAAGTTTATATTATGAATAAAATAATATATGGAAGTCAAAGCTCTTTTAAATGTGAATATTGCTGGTAATAATTTAACACAAATTTGTTGACATTTTGTTATATATGTCACTGCCTGTCTCTTTCCATCATTTGATTACTGACTTTGAGAAAGTCAACTAAAATAAAATTCAACCTTTTCTAGATGTGTACACAATCAATGTACGGAGACAAAATTATTCTCAATTATAAATCTAGGGATTTTTTCTTTTATTTCTATATTTTAACATATACAGTGGAAACCATAGGTTAAAAAATATTTAAATAAATGTTATGTATTTAAATTAAATATAGTAAGTTAATTAAATTCAGAGTTGTTAATATATTAATTATATATATATATATTAATATTTTGAAATTCTAATTTATCATAATTTTATTCTTAAAATATTTAAACTAATCTTATCATCGATTATGAAACTCATAAATACATTTCAACATTTATATATTAAAATTAGATAAATATTAATGATATTTTCTTAATATAATTTAAAAAATATCCTCTTTTATCAGATAAAATTTTGCAAGTTTCAGAGTATATTTAATAATAAGTTTATAAGTTTATATTTATTATAATAATTAAAATAAATATTACTAAAACTCTTTCCAATTATTCCACGAAATGAAATCTATGGGCATTAGCCATTTGAATTTTGAGTCATATAATATATTTTAGACAAGGTCATACAAACAAAAATAATAACATTTTGTCATTGAAATTTATTAAAAACTATTTTTACTAAAATTAGATCATGATGGTGATAATTAAATTCATAGCTAACTCAGGAAATTTCTCACCTTAATTAAATAGATGTCATGCCATGTATGTTCTTACTTACTTTTCTTTTCAGTATTTAATAAATGCACATTGTTGCAAAGTCTTCAAACATATAAAATATCATTAA